AAAAAAAAAAATTAAAAAAAAAAAAAAGAAAGAAATGCAAATTCTCAGGCCCCACCCCAACATGCTGTGTTCTAACGAGCTCTCCAGGTGACTGCGATCCACGTGACCGTTTGAAAGCCACTGGTCCACACCAGAACACTGGTTCCCAAAATCTGCCGTGCATCTGAATCACCTTCAGCACTGGCTGCTGGACCCTTAGACCAGAGTTGCTGATTCAGTTAAGTGTGAGAGAGGACCCCAAATTTCACACTTGTAACAGGTTTCCTAGGCGACAGCGATGCTGATGCTATTAACGCAATCACGCTGTGGGAAGCGCCAGGCTGGACGGCTGTGGAAACCACAGGTCAGTGCCCCACGGGTACCCGTCTCCTTACCCTTCAGATCCAGTCCCCCTCGACATGCTCCCACGGATCTGCCTTGTACACTCTCCCTCCGTCCTCGAGTTCACGTTCTAGGAGTTAAAGATCCGTGTGACTCTGGCTCCTCTTTTACACCCGCCACCCAGGCACAATGTGGGCCTCACGGCGGATACTGTCCTTCCTGGTAGGCAAGTGAACGTCTGCCGGAGAAACTCCAGGAAGCGTCAGGACGTGGTGTGGCAGGGCTCTTCCTGCAACACCCACGAGCCTGCTCTGCTCTGCCTGGGGCTCCCGCTCAGGTACTAAGGGCACCCAGAGCCCTGTGTCCCAGGATGGCGCAGTCTGCCTGCCTTAAACATCATCACTAAGGTGGACAGACAAGGAAAAACCCGAACGCTGCATTTTTCAACCTGTTTTATCAATTCCATTCTTAACCCTAGCCTCTAAATAGACTTTTATTTTATAATCCAAGTACAAATAAAATCAAGGCTTATTCGGGGCGCCTGGGTGGCGCAGTCGGTTAAGCGTCCGACTTCAGCCAGGTCACGATCTCGCGGTCCGTGAGTTCGAGCCCCGCGTCAGGCTCTGGGCTGATGGCTCAGAGCCTGGAGCCTGTTTCCGATTCTGTGTCTCCCTCTCTCTCTGCCCCTCCCCCGTTCATGCTCTGTCTCTCTCTGTCCCAAAAATAAATAAACGTTGGAAAAAAAAAAAAAATCAAGGCTTATTCAATGATAATATTAACATTGTACCACCAAGAAACTCGACATTTTAAGGCAGTCTTAGTATGGGGGGTTAGACAGAGACTTAGGAACTTACCCTCTTTAGCCAAATATAACTCTTTAAATTTTGCTCTCTTTTGATTAAATTCTTGCTCAAGCTGCTGCTGTGCACGTAAAAATTCTGCATTAATTTTTTCCAATTCTGCTACCCGTTGCTGAAGAGAAACTGGAAAAAAAAATACTAGTTAACAAGTAATAACTTTTATTTATAAATTAAATTACAAGAATAAGTATTCTAGCTACACATTTCTATAATGAAACAGTCAAACTTCTTCTGAAGATCCAATATATTCTAGAAAATTCTAATTTTCACCTCTACTAGACTTAATACACACTACAAATGAATCATATAAAGTGCAACAGCATATATAAGGAGAATCACATAAGGCAAATTTCCCTAAAGAGAGCTTCTCAAGTTCCTTGGTATCACTGACAGAATGTCAGTCTACTTCTGGAGCTATTAAATACTGGATTACTTGGGCTATTTATCCCGCAAATAAACCCACTGCCAACCTTGCGGGCTCTGGTTCCTCTTGAGCGTTCTGAGCAAAATGTAACGGGCTCTCTGATCAGGACAGTCACAGCAGCCTGAACTACTCTCCCAATTCCGGGATGATTCACTATCATTGTACTAAAATCACAATCGAAAACCCTTTCGCAGAGAAAGGATACAGAACCAGACGTTATGCATGAACTCTCAATTACAGGGAGCTCCTCCGGTTTCCAGATTAATGCAGACCATGGTGTGGCAGGGGCTGGGACACACGTTCAGTTCAGGGGCTTATCTTCTGGCCGCGGCTGATTAAGTAAATGCCCATCCTGAGCAAACCCAGACATTCTTCTGGTTCAAGCACCGGGTGGGCAATCCAGAAGCACAACCCCACCTCCTCCTCTGCCCCAACAGCAAGCCAGCCACAAAGCAATCACCCTAGTCCCTCCGGGGGACACCAACTGGTCCTGATGCCACCACTACCCAAACACCAAGGCCAGCAGAGGCCCCAGTTCTCCAGCACAAGCCACCCCAGATAATGATGGCTTGCTCATAACGTTAACCGCGATCTGAAATGATCTCTGGAGGCCCTGCCTTCCCCCAACCCAGTACTCAGTGTAATGGAGAGCCACTTTCCCAGTACACAGAAAAAGACTGGGAAAAAATGCACCAATGATTTTAGATAAATCCTCGAGGGACTAACAGATTGGGGCTGATTAAATTTCTTCCATGTGGTTCCCAAAGTTCTCTAGGACTCCTCTGATAATATAGAATGAACTAAAACCAGTTTCTAAAACCATGTTCCTTCCCTCCACATCTTCAGACCAGCCTCACTACAAATCTGACAGTACGGACGAAATCCAGGTCTGAAAGGGGAAGTGACTGCTACTCTGAGTTCCACTGTTTGCGATTACATGTAAGGAGTCATTCCGAGGAGCAAGTATCTAGGGTCCTTAAGTCAAAGCAAAGAATGACATCTGGTCATTAGAAGATCTGCTGACCTCTGGAGAAAAAGAGGGATGGAGAATCCACTGGAGAGGGAAATAACGCGGTTATCTCGCACTTACTCTCTGAAATCAGGAAGGAAACTTGTTCTCTGTGCTATTTACTTCTCTTGGTATTTTTACTGTCCAAATCCCAGTTGTTAAATAAACAAGTTCTGCACTTAACACTGTAATATTACTTGGAGCTACTGATGACTGTGTGAGGTCAGGAAGAGCGCTGGGGAACCCAGAGAAAAGGAAAAGCAATGTCCTCTGTCCTTCCTTTTCCTAACAACTGCCGGATCCCTCCCCTACCTTCCACCAGAACACGCACACAAATGGCCGTAACTTTCAACATTACGTCTAGGAACTGAAGCCGGTGAACCAATAAAAACTGACATGCAGCATTCAACGGTGCAGCCACACTTTCGTGTGTCTCCACCACTCCCGGCCTGCCCCGGCCCCAAGTTCAGGCACAGTCTGTGCCCGTGGGCCTGGCCGCCTCTCTAAACCTCTCTAGGGCTTCAGGGCGGTTTCAAGTCCAGGGATCCTGACTCCTTGGAGGTCACACCCACTGCCTTATTAGCATTTGTTGTTTTAATTAAAACGCTTTAAATCCACCTCAAGTACTTATGTCAATAAGGCACCTCTACAACAAAGACAAAGGCCAGAACAACTTCTTTTTCTTAAAACAAGACCACCTCCGCTGCTGTACCTGGGGAACCAGCTCGGCCTGCACAAGACAGCAGGAGGGTGCACGTGGGCACGTCCTCTTGCCCGAGCAGCCGACCACAGATTAAACGGAAATGAGCTCTCATCACACAAAAGATTACACAGTTCTCCTAACACAGTCACCAGCAAGTTTACAGTAACTAGCTAACAGCTCATGTTAAAAGGACTCAGCCCAGCATTTAGAAAGAAATTGATAAACACTAGCTGTAATTATTAAACTAGCGGTACTTATCTAACAAAGACAGAAAACAGGCAAAGCGATCAAGGGACATGTATGCAGCCACAAAAGACCAGAAGTCGCTTCCAACCTCATGATCCTGACTCAGTTCCCGTGCTTAGACGCCCAGCTCATGCCTGTCCCTATGACCATGAATCCTCATGGCGTCATGAACAAAACTCAGTAGAAACGCCAGACCTCAACAATATTATCCCTTCTGTAACTTAGCAGCCAAGAGCTATTAGTGTATCGACCTTCTTTAACCCCTCGACACATTCTGCACACTATTACCTTCGTTTGGGTAATAAGGAAAAGGGGGGCGCCCATTGGCTCCGTTGGTAGTGTGTGACTCCTGATCTCGGGGTTGTGAGTTCAAGCCCCACGATGAGGGTAGACACTACCTACAAATAAAATCTTTAAAAAAAAAAAAAGGAAAAGGGGAAAACTATCTCCTGCAATGGCTACTTTTAATGCTTGCCCAAAGGGGGAAAGTTGTCATTATCAATTACTCAAAATGTCTGAGATAAGCAACCATACAGAAAGGAAAAAGAAAAAAAGAATAATCTGGTAAATAAATGAAGAGAAGAGTCAGTACCTCTTAGATATATCTCCTTCCCCAATCTTGACATGAATGCAAGAACATGTAATAACCCAAAAATACTTTTAGGTCCTGAGCTGTGTCCCACACTCCTATGTTCCTCTAACACTGTATTAAATTTGATAAGACACAACAACAGGAGAAGAAACCAGTCTAAGTCAAATAGTACAACAGAATCTTTTTGTTTAAACATGTTCAGGATCCAAAGAAACACCTATTTCAAGGGAAAAAAAAAAGACGTAACTTCAGTAAAACAAAAGACCAAACACTTTCTGTAACTCAGAAATCTTAATTTGTGCATAAATGGGTAAAATGAAACTATTAAGTATGGTAGGAGTGTCCATCCTGTGGAATAATACCAAGCCAGAAAAATTATATTAAATAAAAAGAACAAAATACAAAATTATACAACAAAACATGAGCTATGCAAAAATACACAGAAAAAAAAAACTGGAAAGAATATGCCAAATTACATTCAGAGGAGCTGCCTCTCTGAATCGAAGGGTAATTACAATTATAAATTACACTGATCACACTGATTTAAATTAAAAGGTAAAAGGGGCGCCTGGGTGGCGCAGTCGGTTAAGCGTCCGACTTCAGCCAGGTCACGATCTTGCCGTCCGCGAGTTCGAGCCCCGCGTCGGGCTCTGGGCTGATGGCTCAGAGCCTGGAGCCTGTTTCCGATTCTGTGTCTCCCTCTCTCTCTGCCCCTCGCCCGTTCATGCTCTGTCTCTCTCTGTCCCAAAAATAAATAAACGTTGAAAAAAAAAATTTTAAATTAAAAGGTAATGAAGTGACACATCTTTTTTTTAAATTTTCATGATTATGACTTCATCTGACTGCTACATCCCAATCTCTCTGCTCAAAAAAAGGGCACATAATTTACTTCAGTGATCTTAAAATGTTTTAACACAATAAATAATCATTTTTTTAAAACTACATTTCTATTTTCCCAGGACAATTTGCTACAATAGATAAATTTCCTAAAAAGGCAAAACCTCTTGGTTTCGATTTCAGAAGTGGCCTTCTAGCTAGCAAACTGCCTTCTCTTGCTGCTCTAAAAACTCACCATGTCCAACTTCTTTCAGGAATTACTAAAAATGACTATTCCCACACTACATCTACCCACGGAACTGTGCTTTGTTTAGGCTAATATTTCAGTAACAATCCCCCCTCCCCCAGAGGAAACGTGGAGTGGGTGGGGCCAACTGGGAATCTAGCTTCCCCGCGGATAACTGCGCTGCGGCCAACAACCATTCCACAGTGTTGGAGCAAACGGACGTGGCCTGTGGAATCACTTCGTCCACATGACTGAATAATCGTAATTCTTCAGTACAAGAGAAAGTCGTCATTTCACTTCACACAATCCCACTTCATTTTATGTAATCTCCAAAACATCGGACTTTAGCAACTTTAAGTAAAAAACTGCATCCTTCTACCCTTGGCCATTTACTCACATAAACCAGTTCTGAAACAGAGTAACATCTGGCTAAGAAGTGTACGCGGAACACCTTCCTAGCCCCTCCTTCCGTGAATCAGAGCGAAAAACCTTACTTTGCCTTACTTTTTTCTTTGTTGCAAGTCTCAAAGCACTTGGGCGTCCAAATACTTCAGGTAAAAGAACACTTTTAAGATGATGTGTTTCAAATAAGAAAACCAACTGTTTCCTATGTAAAGGTTAGTGGGCATTTGTGTAAACTACCCGAAGACATCATGAATCTGGGAAAGGTATTAACTCAAAGAACAAACTGGCACCAAATGTTCATTCATTCAGAGGGAAAATGAGATCACGAAAAAGTATTAAGGAAGAGATTCTTCAACGAGAGAGAAGTGGAATTAAAGAGACGAAAGGATGGAAAACCTGATGTGGGGGAGGAAAGACGGGGGTAGAGGTGGGAGGAATTAAGAAGACATAAGAATACACTGTCATTTTCAGCCTCCCTAAAGATAGTGATGATCGAAATTCATGAATAACCACCAGGCACCTGCAGTGTGGAATCTTCTGGGTCTCCTTTAGTTCTGGGTTACTGAGTAGGAACAATCAGAGGATCATAGTTCTGCAAGGATTTCAGAGATTACTCTAGTCCAGTATATTTCAGACTGAGCCTCAATCTATTAATGAGTTGTTGAATTTAGTGATTAGCAACCTCTTTAAAACTAATGCAATATACGGGGTGCCTGGGTGGCGCAGTCGGTTAAGCGTCCGACTTCAGCCAGGTCACGATCTCGTGGTCCGTGAGTTCGAGCCCCGGGTCGGGCTCTGGGCTGATGGCTCAGAGCCTGGAGCCTGTTTCTGATTCTGTGTCTCCCTCTCTCTCTGCCCCTCCCCCGTTCATGCTCTGTCTCTCTCTGTCCCAAAAATAAATAAACGTTGAAAAAAAAA